CCTTTTGTCTCAAATTCATAAACTATATCTCCATATCTCTTATACACTTGTCACTGATGCATCTATTCTTGAACTCTTATACAAATACTCACCACATCATTTGATCTTTTTAACATTCTTATGGTGACACTTATTCACCATATTCTATCTTATCCATGTACTAACAAAACTAATCCATATCGCCTTTCTGATTCAAAATAATGAAGATATTCTATCACTATTTTAATATGATTTCAATTCTCTGAAATCAACTTTTGATCTTGCGAGGCACTTCCTGAGGTGTCCGCTCGTCATCCTGCCTGGCCAGGGCAGGTGAATAGCTATCACAGTCAGGAATATCGCCTTTCACTATACTTAAAAAATTACCATAATCATACTTCTATTATAACTTAGCAATCTAATTCTATTAGCAAGACAACGCATTCCTTACACTATCATATCAGAAATTTTCACTCTATGTTGGCATGCAAACATTTTTAAAACTCTTTTACCTTCGGTTTAAGCCTAGTATCGACTAAACCTTAGTTCTGATACCATTAAATGTAACATCCTCAACCCGGATCCGAGTCCTAGGTGTCACATTGACTTTTCAAAAATTTTCCTTTACAAGTGGATAAAAATTCAACTCGTTATTCGATAAAATTAAAATTTTCATTAATTAACATAACTGAGTTTTACAAAACATATCAGAGCTTATACTATTCAAAACTTTATACTACATGCCAACTACATTCAAATAAACAGAATACATACATATATTTAATATGTTTCTGATCTGATATTCGTAAGGAAGATGTTGACCTGTCTTGCTCCTCTTAGCTTATCTTCTCGCTTCTATAACCAACGTGTGAAACAATCACACACTAAGTCTATGACTTAGTGAGGCTTATAAAACATATAATATAAACTAAACTTCTAACAATGCATATGAATAATTAAGGCTATTATAACATACATCTTCATGTACACTTCATAAAATGAATATATACATACATACACAAACCTTATAATATCACATATGAGTTTTACTATTTCATATTCTTATAATCATTTATTTTACACTACTTAGCTTATATCACATTCTACTATCTTCATTTAAATCGTTTACTTACCTTATTCTTAATACTATAATTTTGATTGCAATCCTACATATCTTATCTCTCATTTCTATATGTTTCTATTTAACATTTCACCCATAAATTCTCGTTACATATTCTAATATCCTAATTTCTTATATTCGCTTAATTCATTCCTCACCAAATCTTCATTTAATAAATATACATTTTTATAACTTATTGCCATTTGATTTCTCTGATATTCTCATATGATTTCTTAGATTCTTATACTAAATTTCATATCCCTTACTAATTTAGCAATGTTAGTTCACAATTCTATTTTAAACGTATATACCTTCTTACACAACTTATCTAATATCCTTTTATACTTATTTATATACCTTTTTCCTCAATTAATATACTATATGCTTTGTCTCAATTCCAATTAATCATATATTTCACCACTTCATTATCTATGTATATATATGTATATAGCGTTCACTAGATTTCTCATGAAATTACTTCTAACATATCATATAATTATATTATATTCACTTACATTCCCAAATATCATATCAACATGTTTCACATAGAACATATCATATATGCAATAAATGAAACTCATACATTCACATCCAAATGTTCAATCACATATGACAATCATGTTAAGTTTTTGTATATTATTTCTTTATTGGACCATGTACATCTTGGAGAACAAAAGATATGTGAGTTCATTGAGGTTGTGCCACTGATGTTGTCACCACAGCTCGAATAAATTCCCACTAGGGGCACTGTATATTTGTCCCAAAGGACCACTATGTCCTGAAGAACCACTATGTCCCGAAGGACCACTCCTTAAGAACCATACACATAATACAATGGACCAAATAAGTGTATCGAAGTACCACATATATGTTCCACAAAATTACATATATGTCCCGAATGACCACGTAGAACCCTCGACTGTTGGCATGGGAACTATACCTCTAGCTCTCATGTCACGTAACATGGGCATCATTATTATGTTTACCCTATATTCACATAGGCATATCACATAAACATAGGTTCTTATCATATCACTCATATCATATGGCTTATCTCTTGAAATCTTGCAATCATATCACTTATACTCTCATAAATCATATCTACATGGCTTATCTTATATACATATGTTCACATACTTTAGCTTACTTCACCTTCCATATATCCATACAATTCATTATCACATGATTGATATCTTACATAACAAAAACATTCACACAGATCATACCACATATACAATAATATATCACAATTATGCCCATATCAATAACATGCTTATATGTATGCTATTATAGGAAATAGACTTATCGCAAGTCTTATTTCCATTCATCATAATATACCAACTAATACGAACTCACCTTAGCCTTGCTTGCTTTGACTCGATCCTAATCTTTCGATTGTTCCGGAACAAGATTACGTTCTAAATCTATATAGTAATACATTGATGCATATCAACATACGAATTGATATATTCTAAACTATTACTCCTTAGGCTAAAAAGAAAGCTATTTTCATCTTTTAATGAATGTATGCATCGATGCACTACACCATGTATCGATGCATCCCTTGACGGGTGCATCGATGCACTATCTATGCATCGGTACATAAATTCCATTCGATGTTTGTATTTTAAGGGGGTGCATCGATGCACTCCTTATACATCGATGCACTAATTGCATTCGATGTTCATTTATTTAAGAGTGCATCGATACACATTGAAGATGCATCGATGCACACAACCCAGAAATTTCATTTTTTCACGAAATTCACTCTCTTTTCATCTCAACTCTTAATCTTTCACCTCCTTTAATATTCCTAACTTTCATACACACACTTAAACTCATTTCTACTTAATAATCACTTCTTTAAACTCAACATCCTTTCCTTTATATGGCATTCAAGAATTACACTCAATTTCCTGCATGTTCTAAATCTAATTCTAACACTTCATATTCCTTAATTTAACCATCGACAAGTCAAATTCATCTTCAAACTCTATTAACTCCTTATATTTCAAATATTCACTTAAAAACTCATTTTTTTCTTAAATTCTCATAACTTGTTAATCTTTGAGTTTTAAGCCACCTAAAGCTTTCCTTAATCTTTCTTAACATCCCAAGAATCAAAACAAGCTTTAAAACGAAAGAATTAACCAACTAAAGACCCACTTACCTTATACAAGATTTCACGGTGGAGAGGAGAAAGAAGAAGACTGAAGAAGGCTATGGATAAATTATCTCCTTTCCCACGTGCTTATTACCCTTTATAAAGGGAAAATAAAAATATTCCCTGAAAAATGACAATAATACCCTTATTACTTTCAAACTTTGTTATTAAATCCAACATCAACACTTTTCATTTAAGTCCTCACTTCCAGTCTTTTCTGAAATTAGTCACTAAATTTACCAAAATTCTATTTTGGTCATTGACCCGACTTTTAGGATGTTACAATCAGAACATATAATTAAATATCACAGGATTGAACCATAATTTTAGATGGAAACTAGATAGAGAACAAAATAATTACTGCCATAGTTGGAAATTACTTGTTCAAAAGCTTTAGCATAAACTTTATCATGGTTGTTTCAAGCAGGTGAATGGATTTAACTTACATGCCATCCTTCTTTGACCTGTATTCAAGGTACTTTGTCAAGATATCATCAACATTTGGCAATCGGGGAAGTTTAACCAGCTGTATAAAATAAGGTTTATTTACACCAAATCAGTTTATTAATGTACCAGCCAAATGGTGCCATAACAAAGTTACTTCAAAAGTTATTGCACCTTATCCTATTGAGTAACAAAATCTCAATCATCAACCAGCTGCTTCTTTAGGGTTAATGGAACTTGAATCTTGACAAGCTTTTCCAGGGGTGAGTTGTCTTTCTAACAATTATTAAAATACATGTTGAAAGGCAATAAAGAATAAGCTTTAGGTAAAGTTTTTTTGGTACACAACTTGCTTAGTTTGAGCATTTAATTAGAAATGTTCTTTGAGCATTTAATTAGAAATGTTCTTTGAGCATTTAATTAGAAATGTTCTTTGAGCTTTTAATTAGTTAACTTGGTCAGACTATTTTTTGTTGAGATTACATGATGAATTTGATTAGTTCAAACCTTATGAACATTTAATTAGAAATGTTCTTTGAGCAATGAATTTGAGGCAACAACCATTTTTTTTGCATTCAGGTGCTGATGGAACAAAGGTGGTGGTGATGTCACCCTTAGATGATTTAGTTTGTTTAAGCATATGGGAAGTTGACTTGTTACTGTACCTTTGTTTCCTCTAATGGATGTTTGGTTCATATAGACTACAATTGATGCTATTGTTTTTGCTCTTCAGTGGTTTACTGTCTCTGTAAAAAGGCATAATTAATGTCTAAATTTGTAAGTTTGATTATTCTTGTGCATTAGCTGAACTTAATTGGAAATGCTAGAAATGCCACTTCAGTTGTTTATTTGTTTGGTTGTTATTCTTACATTGCTGAATGAAGTGTCTTTTTAGTTATTCTTGTAGAGTAAGAGTACTTAATTGGCAATGCTATAAATTTAGCTGCTTGCCTATTTGATTATTCTTCTCAAAATGGAAATAGTATCCTTCTTTATCTTAATCTGTATTCAGGGTGAGGGGACATTGCTTGCAACAGGTTCATATGATGGTCAAGCGACAGATGGTAAGTCATTGTGGGATATTTTATTTATGCCATCCTATATCCTGCAATTAAAAGCCGGGAAAATATATTTTGTACCATCCCTTCACTTGGTGTTCATACTCTCTCCATTTTTCCACACGCCTTTTGGTGCTCATAACATTCTTTAAATCAAATTTTTAGCTGGTCACCCTGTTAGCAACATTTTTATTTCTGTTTTTAATTAATTTACTCTTGTAGAATTTTATATATATTCTTATGTTTTTCAATGATCGTGAGAATTATTTGCCTCAACTCTTCCCCCTCAATTATTTCTTGCTTAGGAGAACTAAGATCTACTTTGAGTAAACACAAAGGACCTATATTTTCTCTGAAGTGGAACAAGAAGGGTGATTATCTTCTTACGGGAAGCTTTGATAAAACGGCAATTGTGTGGGATGTAAAGGCAGAAGAATGGAAACAGCAGTTTTGAGTTTCACTCAGGTTGGCTATTGGACAAAACTTGAAGGTTTGGCTTTTAGTAGGGTAGCCAATATTCATTCATCCAATGTATCATCTTTTTTACCTTTTAGGTCCAACCCTTGATGTTGATTGGTGCAACAATGTTTCATTCGCAACAAGTTCCACTGACCATATGATATATGTTTGCAAGATTGGAGAAATACGACCTATTAAAACCTTTGCAGGGCATCAGGTTTGTTGTCAGTTGTATGAAATGCATGCCTGCTGCTTCCTGTAATTCCTCCTTCAAGTTCTTGCCACTTTCTCTCCTGTTTCTACTTTAAAGATTGTTACTTGCATCCTATAAAAGAAAAGATTTAATTACAATTATTGTTTGTTCTTGTTTTATTTTCAATTTCCATGTTCCTATTACTTTTCTCCCCTCCTCTTCTTTCCTGAGATACAATTTGCTAGGGTACTTTTACAACAATGAAACAAAGCCTTATGGCACGTGTAACTGCCATCCATGGTCTTTAATTAGCAACTGAAAACAATGTTCGGTTTTGGATTTTGATGAGTAAAACTTTTGACTTGAATTGTATCTTTGTTCTTCTACACACCTTTTGGAATTTTGTGCATCTAAGGGCGAAGTAAATTGTGTCAAATGGGATCCGACAGGTTCATTATTGGCCTCTTGTTCCGATGATATTACAGCAAATGTTCTTTTTAACTTTTATCGTTTTGTTATTACTTAGCTTCCTTTATTTCATGAAATATACAGTTTGTTTTATTGCATCTTGTCGTCTTCTTTCTTTTTGAAGAAAAAAATGAGAAGTTAAATTTGAAACAATCTGCCAGTTTTTTTTTTTTTTAATATTATTGCTTTGTCTCTGTTGGTTTTGATTCCCTTTTTTGTTGCTGCGACACCTTTACGCATAAGTGTTCTGTCTTTTATTCTTTTTAGTTTCAACTAATAAAGTCTTGGTGCAGATATGGTGCATGAAGCAGGACAGGTATGTTCATGATTTGAGGGAGCATTCTAAGGTAGTTTTGAGCTTCGTACCTTCTGAACAATCCATTTGTTCACATGCTTGGCTGCATTTATTTGTATCTATGTTGCTTTGATTCTTCATTTTCCTTGAAGTATCCCTGTTTGTCACTCGTGTCCGGCTCACATTCAAACACCGGTACGAGGATATGATCCTCTGAAAACTTTCCAATTTCATGGAAATCTTGGAAAAGAAATTGAACATACCTCTGACAAACACATATCGGGCTCACATCCGAGTCTTAAGCAACATAAACTATTGTCTTGGGCGAATATTGAACATATGTTCTGCAGGAGATATATGCCATCAGATGGAATCCTACTGGACCCGGGACAAACAATCCTAACCAACAGTTAATTCTTGCGAGGTAAAATTTAGGAATAACTGAAATCGTTTGAGTTTTTTTTTTGCTGGATCATGATTTGTGTGCACTTCTTTCGTATCTTCATTATTAAGTCTAATATCCGAAGCCATTAGATAAACCAACATGACTCAGCAATCTCGATAGCAAAATACTATCCCTAGTTTAAGCTTTGACTTGATTGAGGTTTTTGATAGAAATGTAAATCATCTATTTTTCTTTTCAGTACATATTTGTGTATAACAACTTAAAAAATTTAATTGATATTTCACGGCATTTGTGTGTGCAAACTTTACTATACAGTGTTTTGAGGAATGTGTCCACTCTCTTCTTCTTCCTTTGGTGTAAAATTGAATCTGTTTTCCTATGTTACTTGGATTTGCGTCTGTCAAACTTGGGTATGCGTAAGACTCCGTGTATGTTCACTTTTTTTTAAAAGTTTTTCCATATATTTCGAGGGTATATGGAAGGTCATAGCTACTTCAAGCAAAATGAAAGTCAGAGCAATGTAGCCCTTTTTAGTTCCAAGGTTCAATGGAATTCCTTTTTAGGTTAAATTAGCCACGTCACTCAATTACTAGTAAGATTACTAATGAGTCACTCAGTTAATCGATTGTCACATATTGAATAGTTAAAAATGTAACGGACATTAGGTGTTTTTAGTAAAACATTTTGTAATGATTTTTCTTATCAGGTAAATTACACCTCATGCCATCCAATTATTAGTAAGATTACAAATAAGTCATCCAATTTTAGAAAGTCACAAATGAGTCACCCAATTAATCAGACAAGAAAATCCATTTTGAGTTTTGGACTTCTCGAAGATTGGTAGCTCCATTCGAGATCCGAACGGTGGAGAGGTTGTTGGTGGAGAGAGGAAGAACATCTCGTCAGATGGAGGTCATTTGGCTATGGACGGTGTAAATTGAGGATTAAAATTTTTGAAAGTTTTGTAGTGATTTCTTGGCGTTTGAGAGAGGTTCCTGGGATTCTAATTTGGTCAATCGAATGAGGAGATCAATGTGAATCTTATGATGAAATTTGGGGGTTCATTGGATACCATATACAAGGGGTGACACATGATTTGATTGTTACAATCAATTGGGCGGTTTGATTGCATTTTCCTAAAATCTAATATTTTTGAATAAATAAATTCTTCCACGTCAGAAAGTCGTATAATATTTAAAGACCCAATGACTTGTTTGCGACCATCGTTTAATCGAGTGACCCATTTGTAGTTTTTTGAAATTGGATGACCCATTTGTAATCTTACTAATACTTGAGTGATTTGCGGTGCTATTTACTTTTCTGTTTTGGGTAATTAAGGTCCAATGGAATTTATTTATGACATGTTTGGTTGGAGTGTTAATTTTCTCATATTTGAGTACATGAGGGAGCAATAAACTACCTTCACTAGTTAGTAAATAAACCTTTTCCTTAGTACTTTTGTATCAAAGGGAACGTAGACTGCTTTTACAACAGCTACTAGGAATCTACATTTAGGTGTTCCTTATTCTCTTTATCTCTTTTCTATATAGTGCATCATTTGACTCCACCGTGAAGTTGTGGGATGTGGAACACGGGAAACTTCTCTACAGCTTAAATGGACACAGGTACCATCCTTTGAATCCTCATTCTCTATTTGTTTCTTCTATTTTTAATGCTGGAAACAGTCGAATACTTTTTCTAATCATATATTGTAAGATTGTTAAAAGTCTTTTCGATAGTGAAATGAACAACTACCGTGACTTGGGCAGTTTTTTCTGGTTTTTTTCTCTCAAGTTTCTTTTGATTAAAATACCAGGGACCCTGTATACTCAGTTGCATTTAGCCCTAATGGAGAGTATCTGGCCAGCGGATCTCTCGATAAATCCGTGCATATTTGGTCCTTGAAAGAGGGGAAGATTGTAAAGACATATACCGGCAATGGAGGTATATTTGAAGTCTGTTGGAACAAGGAAGGTGACAAGCTTGCTGCTTGTTTCGCAAACAATACACTATGCGTCTTGTCCTTTAGAATGTAACAACCGGGAAATCGCTCCATTCCATGAATCCAAGCTTGTATTGAAAGATGGCATGCGATATGTTGTGTGTTCATTGATAATTATTAGGTATAGTTACTAAGGTATCTTGCTTTGAATGAATAGGGGAAACTGTTAACTAGGGTAGGTTTGCGTTTTTGTTGATTATGGCATTACTAAGTAAGTTCTGTTGTGATTTTGTTGGGAATCCTACAATATTTCATTATAGATTATTAGAGTTTAATACAAGAGAAAATTCATTGCATAATAATTAAAAAAAGAAAAGTTCAGGCAGGCACCCAAGCAGCTGCAAATACAACATTATGGCCTTTCCAAGTAAGAACAACATCTTCTTCTTCTTTCTTCAATCCCCATCCAGCTGCATGTTCATCGAGCATCGTTTTCACTTCCGAAACCGCTTCTTCCCCGAAACTAACCCCTCTAAATTCTGCGTTTCGCATCCGCTGCACCCACCGGCTCTTCGTTTCCACCCTCTCCACCCTCTGCAAACCTTCCTGAGCTATCACATTCTCTATCTTCCAACATATATCAGCTTCATACCATTGCCTTTGCTTGCTTCCTTTTGGCAGAAACGCTTCCATCGTATCGTACGGTATCCATAGATAATTGAACGCAGACCTTAATCTGCACACCAAATTATTTGGTGTCAAATCCGCATCTTCGTCTACTAGGACTACAATGGTCGGGTTTAATCCGCGAAGCGCCTTGAGAAACATCGTTCGAAGTGATCGTTTCGGAGATGGTTCGAATGTGTAAGGGATTGAGTTTGCATTAGGTAAAGGAGATAAAGTTTCTTCTGGTATGTAATGAAGCATCATGTGGCAGTTGATAACTAGAGCCTCACCGGTTTCGGCATATACTAGATGTTGAAGACGAAGTTGATCGATCAACGAAGCAAATCCATCGGCGTGAGTCGAAGGTACAACCCTAAATTCCAGCATCACGTTGCGTGACCTAGCAAAGTTAACCAACTTGGAGCCTAACTCTTCATATGTAAGATCAAGCATCGGGGGGAAATCTTTTGAAACACCAGGAACTGTAAGTTTCACCATTGGAGGTCCTTCGAGCCTATTAGCTATGGCGTCTATTAATGTAGGGATTTGCATGCAATGTGTGGAGCTTAGATCAACAATGTGAATGATCGAATACCCTTCCACAGCTTCGAGTATTGCGGCATTTGCTGCGGTGAAACCGAACCGATGCCACGGGGTTAAGTCGACAAAGTTAGCGAACTCGATGACAGAAAAAGTGTGGGTATCTATGGAAAGGTTGCAACGAGCATTGGCCATTGCAGCCAGCAACTTGCAAGTACCACTTTTGGATGCTCGGACTATTAGAGCTCGAAGAAAAGCACACGTTAGACGCTGGTTGGAGTCACCATCTGGTGGTGCAATGTTGTTTAGAACCCAAAGGATTTGCTGGGCTAGAGTGGCATCATTGCTTTCCATTGCGTTTGCACAATGGACTAAAAGTTGTTCCATGCAATTGGCATCACCGAAGCTAGCTAGACCCTTTGAGGTAGGGAATCCAGGCCACGGACGAGCCTGGTGAATCTGGTTTGTGTTCATTGTTGGAATCGAAAATGGAGTGATTTGTTGCAAGGGACATGATAGGGTTTCAGGGAATTGCATCATGGAGAATAAGAGAAACAAAGAGTACCAAAATTGACAGTATAACACAGGCAAAACGAAGCAGCAACAAAGTAAGAATCAGATGCTATCAGAAGAGAGAAGAAAGAGAGAAAGACTAACCTGTGAACCTCGTCATTGGGAAGCGGAGCCACAAAGTTTTGGTGAAAACAGTGACAGAAACCCACCAAATTATAAGTACAGCTTGGGGAAATTCTGCAAAAGATTCACAGAACAAATTTGAAAGTTCAAGCTGAGACTGATCAAACTTCAAAGAAGACGAAATTAAACTCTGATTTCATCCCCCACAAGAACAAACAAGGTTCAAGTCAAAGTTTGGCAAAAGAGACCCTTCTGGCAACGAAGATGAGCCTTTTCAGTTGCTAAAAGATAGGGTATGCAACGAAACAAGAGCAAAACAACAGCAACCCACTGATTCAAACATCCTCTATTATAATCAATGAAAGAGATGAACACCGTGAGAGGCAAATATAACGTAGAAAAAAGAATGAGAGGAAAGGTGGGCTACTTAGGGTTGGATTTTGGTGGTATGTGAGGATTGCCGGCCAACCGATTGTCTATATGTGGGAGTTGGGATTTTGTCTCGTAATGAGGAGTTGGGATTGAATGCCATTTCATTTTTTACCCGACACTTCAGCATAAATATTTACTTACATTTGGATTATTTTTCGAATAAAATCAAACTTTTAAGCGTATGACATAGTTTTTCTTATGAATTTTCCATTAACAAAAATTTAAATCAAGATTCAAATATCTATAAGGACGTTTTTAGCGATTTAAGTGATTTCAGCAGTTAACAAATTATTTGTATCCTTTAAGATCTTGGATTTGAGCACAACATAAGTAAAATTACTAAAATGTTTATTATTAAATAATTAAGAATATCTTGAACAAATATTACATTATATTCCCCTCATAATAATAATAAAAAACATCAAATTACTTTTCCTTTAAACTTAAAGCTTTAACATACACTCACTAATATCCCATATGACATTTAACCTCTTTATCGTTTTCATGAACAAATCATTCCTCTTTTCATACGGTACCGTTTCATTTCTCCATCTACGTGGGATTCCGTAGCAAATGTTGATGGAGGATATTGGTCTTCTAGGATTTTCTATGGAACATACACAATTTTGATGGAAATTTTAAAATGTTTTTTTATCTTATTATTTATGTTCGTTCATCGTTTATATTTGACTTCGTGATTGTACCTTTTAATAATATGTTCTTAAAAGTTTAAATTTGAATTCTCTACTTAATTATATCATATGTATTATCGGTGTATTCAACACATATATTGATCTATAAGTTTTTCTAATTTAAAAATTAATATAAATTTCTTTAAACTTATAAATTAATATTTAATTATAAATATCAAATTTATAATTTTGTTACTTGTTATTATATAAAAAAGTTTTTAGTTTTTTTTTAATTTTATAATGTTTATATCTTAGATTTTTTTAATTTATATTTTAATATTTTTATCATTTCATTTTCATATCGATTCATCATATGAGAAGAAAAGATAATGTAGAAAAGGGCCCTCAAAGAATTTGTAGCAGCCATAATCTTCGCAAGTTCTAGTAAGACAAATTCAATAAAAGAATAGTCGTTGTCGAGCTGAAAATGAAGATTGCCTCCCTTCAATACTTTATTCCTTACCATAATTAGCCAAAGTCCTAGTCATAGCATTAAATACTTTTATATTCGTAAATGACCTAATTCAATTTAGTTTTCATAATATTTTTTTTGAATTTATCACTGATATCCGATTTATTGACTGACTAATCTAGATCGGGTACTACAGAGGCGATGACGACCCTCTCAACCCAGTTTGCTCCATTTGCAACCGCCATGATTTGAACCTCTGACCTTGCTTAAAAGATCTAATGTCTCATCCCACTAGAACAACTGGTTATGGGTTAATATATACTTTAGTTTCTCTATTTTACGATAATTTGTACTTTTAACCTTTTTACAGTTTTTTTACCGATTTTGATTCCGTCTGTATTAGTTATCTCTGAACATTTTTCATTAAAAAAATGGCATTTGACCCAATAAAGTTTCTTCATGTTTAGTACAACTAGGATAAATTATACATTTAGTACCTAAACTATCAATTTTGTTCTATTTTAGTCACCTAATTTTTTTTTCAAAATCATATCTAATGTCTAGTTTTGGTTTCATTTTGGACACTCATCGTTAAAATATTAATGATGATACTGATATACCACCGTAAGATAATGTCATGTCATCATTGAGAAAAAGAAGAAAAAAGCCACGCTAGTAAGTAGTAATTCTATTAATTTTTTAACAGTAGATAACCAAAATGAAACCAAAAATGAAAAATAGTTAGATGACTAAAATGGAATAAAAAGGATAATTATGGTACTAAACATGTAGCTTACCCTAAAAAATAAAATAAAACAAAACCATAAAGAAGTAAAAGAATCAAAAAAATTATCAAAAATTAGAGATTAGGAACTAAAATATGTACTAAGCCTTAAATTTAATATTTTATATAGTTATATAAATATTTACTTGTTAATAATTTGTATAATTAATAGTTATCATACTTATATGATCAAATTATATTATTTTTATATTATATAATGGTTTATGTAATGCATTATATGATGCATAGGAGAAGGCATATAAACGTTTATCTGGGTTTAGCAAATAAATATTATCTTATAAAACGTATAATTTCTAGAGCATGTGGTTAAAAAGACTAAATTAATACCTCTTTTCTCCCTTATATTGTGGATTTAATACCTATTAGGAGTAAAACAATTCCCCTTCCCCTTCCGTATATTTTTATAAATAAAAAGAACCATTACTATGACGTGTATAGTATATATGAAAATATGCTTCCAACATTTTTATCTCACCAACTTCGGTATCAAAATATGTAAAGAGATCTTTTGCAGGACCTGTTTTGGATATACAAAAATAATATTTTAATTTGGAATTTAGAAGATCATTGCTGTGTTATTGCACACTTTTTTGAACCCAAAATAAAAATCCGTAAATCTGATTACTTCTATTAGTTGAATCCAATCTCTGGCTTCTCTATAACATCTAATTTAAAATATGCATTGAACTATACGTCCTTTTATATTTAAGTTCAAGCAAAAATGTTATTATATATTGTAATTCAAATTTTATTTGGTCAAGTTTAAAATTTATGATACAGTCATTTTGACGAAGAAATAAATTAAAAAGATAAAAATTTATAATGGATATACTGACATAACAGAACCACCAAAGGATTGGGAGGGGTTGTGCTCCGAATTTTTTAGTATAATGATATTTTATATCTTTTTAGTTTAAATATTAATTAAATAAAATATTTCTCTTTTTTTAAAAAAAATTAAATATTCATTGGATCTTTATTTTTTTATTTAATCATTACTATTAGATCTATTAACCGCTAATTTATATTTGGTACTACAGAGGTGAGGGCGATCCTCCCAACCCAGTTTACTCCATTCGCAAGCGTCAAGGTTCGAACCCCTAACCTTACTCAAAGAATCTAGTGTCTGATCCTACTGGTTGTTAATAGATCTTTATTATCTGATATAAAATAATTTAACTCCTTTTATTATTTAATTATAATTATATCTATGGTAGAGGTTAGAGATTCAATGTATTATTTCTCTTGTAACATATTTATGAATATAGTAAAAAATCATCTACATATAATTTTTTTATAGAGAATTTTTCACATAAATTTATATATTTTTATTTTAAGATGTTAAATGTTTACTTTTCAGTATTTCATAAAAAATCATTATTCTTTTATCCTACATATAAAAAATATATTAATTAAACCCTTTCGATAAACTTTAAAAAATAATTGATCATTTGTTTTAATGCGTGCATGTAATTAATATAGTTATGATATGGGTGAGAATCAGAGAAAGCTGACAAACTTTTCGCTGCCTTTTCACCCTCTGCATAATCAAATGTATTCTTTTTATATATAATTCTTTACATTTCATCGAAATGCATGCAGTTAAAGAAGAGTTTTAAGAAGAATCTGAGGAAAGCATAAAAGGATAATCATATAAGCTAAGGCATTCAGGTTTAAATATAGAACTGTAAACATTCTGAAGAAGATTCCTTAACTTTGAGATACAAGGACTAAACGACATGTTGGCTAAATGTAAATTTGTTGTGCATGTTCTTTATTGAACTTCTCAAATATCTGTCTATTTGTGTCTGATTTGTTTCAATAAATAGTGTGAAATAAAAAAAATAGAGAAATGAAAATGTAAAATTATCTCTAGATTTGTACGAGTTTGTTAAATTCATTCTTTATTGAAATTTATAGAAAAAAAATTATAATGAAAATCATCTAACACCTGTCAAGGACGTAAAGATAAAATATACATGGATTAAATATTGTGTCTACAACATATATTTATACGTTTAAGCAGGGGTGGATGTATGTGGCTCCCTAGGGAGCCACGGCACACATATTATTTCGAGAAAAATATTAAATCATTTTAATGTGTTAATGGAAATACGAAAAAAAGAAAATTTGCATACCCAAAATTTTTAGAATAGAACAATAAAATTTTGGATCCCATTTTTTAATTTTTGAATCTGTCACTGCGTTTAAGATACGTATAAACACAAACTCAAATCAAGTCGGCATCTAATGGTAGTTTTGGTTTTTTTGCATTCATCATGAAAAGCATAAAAAACCAAACTAGGCAACGTGAAAGTAAGGAATGAAAGCATGTGGGTAAAGATGCACAAACTGATACAAAACATATGTTTTGTAGTAAATTAGTGATCGTTTAAAGACCACTTGACATAGTCTTTTAAAATTCTAAAGATATTAGGAACTTGCCCAAAACATATGGAAGCCAAAGATATACAAATAATAGCATCGAATGTTGAGCTATTCAGATTAAAAGAAAAGGGGAGGAGTTAAAAGGGACATTTTCTCTACATGCTAAGTTTTGGAACTTTGATTGATGTACTTGTTCGGTATCTTACCAAAACAATCCACCCAACCATTACTTAGGGAAGTTTGGATTTTTTTTTATTTGTGAAGAATGTTATTAACATATTATATTTTTGTCATATTCACCATATAATTGAAAGAAATATTTTATGTTAAACTATATGTTTTTTTAATTATGATCACTAATAATGGTAAAATAAAGAATTTA